GTGAAGTGAACTTTTTTCCTTTTTTTTAATTTAACCTTTATTTACACAGGTAGTCACACTGACACCCAATGTCTCTTTTACAGGACACTTACGTGGAATGGTCACACTGAAGTGCTGGGGGTCAGAGATCAACAGTTTCTTCTTCAGTTCACTCAAGCCGACACCCGTGGGTCCTACACACAAACATCTAATTATAAACTCAGCCAAACTCCTCATCACGTTATTATCACATCCATAACATCATATGAGACATTCAAACTATCTTTCGTCTGTACTTGGTGGTTAGAGTCGCAGAAGTTAACTCAAGACCTCAAACACTAATGATGAGAATATAAATTCAAATGTCTAATAGGATCAAATGATGAACTAATGAAAATTTGTATCCAAAAGATCTAAAGTCACTTATTTTTCTGCAAAAATAAATTTCTGGTTATTCATATTCACTTGTTACGAACAGATGATAGAGAAACATAATAGTCAGCTTCTCTCTTGTAGAGCTGAGCTACCTTTATTGTTTCTGTCGTCTCTATGTGACAATGAGGATTTTCATTAAATTCGGTATCCTTCATGATGCCACGTATAACAGCAACAGTGTGTGAGGTAAGCAGTGACATCAGAGTTTGAGAACTTCAATTTCTCTTCACTCACCTACTAGCACCACCAGCCTGTGTTTGTCTCCCCTTTGCCTGCGGTACGGGACGACTTCCTCGTACGTGGGCACGTCAGCCATGTCGTACATTTCACTCTTCTTCGCCTCGTACATGGACTTGGTGGTCTTTCTGTCTCTCCTGCTGAGGCGAAAGCTTCTCCTGAACCCAGCTGGAGGTCAGCATGAGCCAAAAGAGGAGACAGAAGAAACAGATCAATCAATACAAAAAAAGAAAATTCTTTGTCAGTAGTGTAAAATCCAGCACAACCTTATGTACACATACAAATATTGTGGACTTCAATTTATAGTTGTTTCAGGATCTTGGCAAACACCTCCACACAAACATTACTTTCCCCAGGTGACATCAAACAGGTGAAAACTCATCACAGGTCTATCATCATCCAAAATACAGTCCCTCTCTCCTCTTGCACTCACTGACACACTCACTAAAATAACACAGGTAACTAATTACACAACAACAACAACAACAACAACAACCATCCTGTCTTCCATACCAATGGAAACTATATTACACAGAGAGGATGACAATGAATGTGCTCCAAATTTTAGAACAAGTCATGTATGGGTAAACGAAGCTTGCTCATTTGTTATGGAAAGCCTCATAAGATGATCCAAACACGATCAAGTTAGTAAAAAGAAAGGAGCTGATATCTACTTTGATTCAAAGCCCCTTCAGTGAAGTAGAAGTGCAAAAAGGTGAAGGAAAAAGATGAGCATATTTAACACAAGCTGGGACGACGCACACTTACACACAGATACATACAGGAAGTGACTTTACTTCCACAAACAAACAGTTAAATGAAAACAGAAAGTTGGTATAAAGATTGAAATCAGTGAATGAATCTAAGCGTCATCAGCTTAAATGTAAATTAATCTCTACACTTGATGTAACCTAACACTGACCACCACAGCTGCTCTGTATCAGCCCAACACAGAGCTTTACTGTGATTTCACCACATTAATGCTAACCTGTTTATTCTGCAAACATGATATTATAGAAACACAAAGTTAGTATACTCACACAATGAAAATAGATCATTTGTCAAAACGCATCATATACAGATATGATGTGTGATTAAAAATTATGACATGTAACCTTTAAATCTGCAGGTCATTAAATGTCCCAGAGCAGACATCAGCTTTAAAAATAATCTCTATTCTTTCTCTCCTGTCCTGTCTTTCTCATCTTTCTCCGTCTCTGAGTGAAGTTAGCTCTTTCTTTTCTCTCCTTGTGAAATACAGCAGCTGGACC